GTGCCCCCCCCGCCGGCAGGTGCCGTTTCGCCGAGCGTGAATATTCCCGAGGCGCCACGCGGGAATAGAGCGAAAGCGACTCCGGCTGCTTTTTATAGAGTCTAAAAATAACGCCCCCCCGCTCCAGCCAGCACGAGGAGCGCAGCCATAAATTCCCGAAGAAAGCCTCAAAGGGAGGTGGAAGGAGCCGAGGGAGGATGCGGGTGGGGGTCTCGGGGCGGCTGCCAGCGCCGGGGTGCTGGGTCCCGTTCCCAGCGCGCTGCTGACTCACGGCACCACCTCCGGCTGCTTTTTATAGAGTCTAAAAATAACGCCCCCCCGCTCCAGCCAGCACGAGGAGCGCAGCCATAAATTCCCGAAGAAAGCCTCAAAGGGAGGTGGAAGGAGCCGAGGGAGGATGCGGGTGGGGGTCTCGGGGCGGCTGCCAGCGCCGGGGTGCTGGGTCCCGTTCCCAGCGCGCTGCTGACTCACGGCACCACCTTTGCGGAGTCGCTGCCACCCCCCCGGCTCGCCGAGCCTCAGTTTCCCCAGCTCCCCCAGCCGGCCGGGCCAGTGTGGAGCCGCGATGCCGGCGGCAGGGCTGCCGCCGGGGTTTTTTTGCCCCTCTTCCTCCCAGCGCGTCACCGACCCATCTCAAATGCGATGCTCAAGGGCCAACCTGGCCAAGGGTTTCTCCTGGTTTCATTCCTGGAGCTGGGAATACCGTGCAGCTTCGTTCCCCGACATCCAGGAACTAACACGTGCCGTGGTGCCGGGTGGCAATGCCGGCACAGCCCCAGGGGAAGCTGGGCGGAATGGGATGCCAGCAAGGGGCTCCGTGCAGTCGGCGTGATGTCCCGTGCATGGTCCCTGCTCCCAGAGAGCCGGACGGGGGTGGGATGCCCCGCCACGCTGCCCAAATGTGGCTCAGGGCATCTGGGCCATCCCGCATCCCTCTTCCCGGATCCAGGCTGTGTTTTGGGATTGGTGAGTGCCTCCACCCAGCACCCCGGCGCTCCCAGCACCACCATCCTGCCCTGAAGCCCCCCGGTCTCCCCGTCTGGCACCCCCAGCTGCATGGAGGCATTTCGGGAGCAGGGACGGGGCGAGCGGGCACGGTCTCCGGCAGTGAAAAGCTCGGTCTCGCACTGGCCACCACGTCCTGGCAGGACCCCTGCCCGCCCGCAGCCCCCAGCCCGCCACCCCCAGTTAGTTTTAAAAGCTCGTTCCCCAAGAAAAGGCAGCACGTGCGGTATCGAGGGCAGCGACGGCTGCCCCACGGCGCCCCGTGGCACTGCCCGATGCCAGGAACCGTCCTTGGCCAAGGTCACGGCGTGGCCGAGGGCAGCGGTGGGCCCAGCACTGGGGAAAGCTCAGGGCTCCCCCCCGACCGATCCACACGGCAGCTGGGATCCGCCGCCCAGTGAGCGATGGCCCCTTATCTGCCCCTTCTCCACCCCAACCTCCGTCCCCGGAGAAAAGGATGCGGCATCTCTATCTGCAAGGGCAGGCGGGGAAAACGGGGTGCGGGGAGATACGGGGGGATGGGTGAGACACCCCGGCGGGGACGCCGATAGCGCGGGCAGGCGCCAGGGGTGGGAACCCTCCGAAACCCCCGGGGGGGCTGACGCTGCCCAAAGCAAGCGTGGCCACGAGGGCTTCGCTCTCGCCGCAGGGCTGGGGCTGTTTGGAAACCCCTCACCCTCCCCCAAAATGAGGCGTTTGCAGCCCACCCGGCTGCCAAACGGCCCCGTGACGCTCATCCGGGGTTCGAGGCACCGCCATCTGTTTGTCCGACGTCTGTTTGTCCATCCCTGTGGCTCGCCGGAAAGGTGGCAAGCGGAGGGGGCTGGTGAAAGGGCTGCGGTGGCGGGTTAAAGTACACGTGTGCCTGTCACCATTCCCCCGCCAGCTCCTGCGAACGGCACCAGTGTCACCAGCCCGTCCTTGCCCGGGGGCCTGCGGACCAGGGGGCGGCCGGGGGCCTGCGGACCCGGGGGCTGGGGGGGGGGGTCTGAAAACAAGAGGCTGGGCCGGGCCCCCCGGGGGGGAAAGCTCTGGAGCGTGGCAGGGGAGGGCCGGGCACGTACCCCAGTGCGGACTCTGCCCCCAACCTCTGCACTTGACCTTTGCAACCGGTCCTGGGAGCGCGAGCGGAGCAAAGCTGGGAGCAGCTCGCCCTGCGTTGGCCGTGGGGGACCCCGGGGGTGCTGGGAGTAAGGCACCCCCTGCCTCAGTTTCCCCACTGCTGGACGAAGGCTGGCAATCGGGGAGGGGGAATGAATGGAATTAATTTATGTGGGTCACACACGGCTGAAAAAAGCACACGCACCTGGGTTGGTGGCCTGGGGCATCCCCGAGCCCTGCGGCCACAGCCATGCGTCCACCCGGGGCCGTCCCCAGCCCAGGGGACATCGCTGCGGCCCCATCCCAGCACTGGGGCCGGGCACCAAGCTCGCCCGGCCTCGGTGGCACCACGCCGGGGCAGAGCCCCATGGCGGTGAGCTTCTCCCACCGCCAGCAGCAAAACGATCCCATTTCTTCTCCAAACAGAGGCAAAGCCTAGGGGCGGCCGGATCCGGCCCCGCAGCGAGGAGCCCTCCACCTCCGCCGAATGCCCGGTGATGGGAAGAGGAGATGCTCAGGGAGCGGGATGCCAGCAGTGCCGGGACCCCCGGCATGGCGCACCAGTCCCGGCCACGCTCCCACACCATCCCGGTGGGCTGTAAGGAAAAAGGCCCGCGCCCACGGCAGCAGGGAAGCACCGACAGCGAGGGTCCGGGTGCTGGGGACCCCACGGAGACAGGGCGAGGGGAGGAGGGTGGCTCCGTGTGCGGGAAAGGCAGGGCTCCCGCTCCGAGTGCTGGTGCCTCATCTCCCTGCTTCCGTGCCTCAGTTTCCCCTCTGGTGCTGCCCCGTTCAGGGAGAGGTTCCCACTGAGGCAGGGGGCTGAGCCATCGGTGTTGGGGGACAGTGCCAGGCGCCATCTCCCCGAGCGCCGTCCCCAAAGCATGGGGCAGGGGAATAACCCCCACCTCCCCGCGGTGGCCCCGGCTCTCCCCCCCTCCATTTCTTCCCTCACCGTTTCTTTCTGCTCCCAGCCACACCTGGTGGGAAACAAATATCCCAGCGAACGCCACGCGCGGCCGGGTAACGTTTCATCACAGAGCCCAATTAGTCACGGGCAAACCCTGCCTGCTTCACCCCAGCCCGTGACGGGATTAGTCACCGGTGGGAGGGCAGGGGGGCTCAGCCCCTTCGGCAGAGCAGCACCCCAAACCCCTCCCCCCCCCGTTCAACCCGGCGTCCCCCCGGGCTCGGGGAGGGCAGCCTGCTTTCGGAGAGGGGGGAAACCCGCTCCCCGCCTGCCCAAGTGGCCCCGAAACGCTCCTGCCATGATGGTGGCGGTGAAACCGGCTGCTGGGAGCCGAGCGCGGCGTGAAACCTGAGCGGGCCTGGCCCCGCGCAGCGTACGCAGGCGCTAATTTGGTCTCCGGGAGCTCAGCCCGACACGAGGCTGCGCGAGCCCCGACCTGGCTTCACCCCCCCGTCCCCGTGGTTTTTTGGGAACCGGGGGCCAAATCCCGCCGGGATGGGATGGGTGATGGAGGACGAAGCAGCGGGTCCACGTTGGGGGCCAGGGGAGCATCGCTCCCCCCCAGCCCCGCGAAGGGAAGCGGTGGTGGAAGCAGGCGCCGGGCTCCCAGGGATCCCTCTGGCTCCTCCTCGCAAAGCCGCTTTCAAATGCGCGTTGGGAGGCCAGTGCCAAATCCGAACGCCTCCCCACCCCCTCCGCGGCCTCCCCGCCAGAACCCTACAAACCAAACAAAAGTTATTCAAACCCGAGGAGGGGAAGGAGGAGGGGATGGGGGGGGGGGGCACCCTGGTGCTGAAAGGCAGCGACGCTTT